TGGCACTGGCAAATGAGTTCTACAAAACAGAGAAATTTGCTCTGGACACTGGATATAATGCTTTCAAACAGACTGGAACATGATTCAATTTTGAAGGCTTTCATAAGTACAAGAGAATAACTAGGGACCAGAGAGGTGGCTCAGCAGTTAAAGAGTGCTTGCAGAGGACTGGAGTTTGGATCCTAGCACCCATGCCCAGTATCTTACAACTGCTTATAACTCCAGTTCTAGGGGCCTTCAAAGGTACCTGCACACATGTGTGCATACAACTCACACAAACACACACAAATCAGGGCTGGAGAGATGACTCAGCAGTTAAGGATACTGTTTTTGCAGAAGACCTGGGTTCGAAAATAAATATTTAAAAATAAATACACACAAACCTTTTTTAAAAAGAGAGAGGGGGGATGCCGGGCATGGTGGCGCATGCCTGTAGTCCCAGCACTTGGGAGGCAGAGGCAGGTGGATCTCTGTGAGTTCAAGGCCAGCCTGGTCTACATAATGAGTTCCAGGACAGCTGGGGCTACAGGGAGACCCTGTCTCAAAAAAAAAAAAAAAAAAAAAGACACAGACACAGACACACACACACACACAAAAATATAGACAGCACTAATCCCAGCAGACACACTGGTATTTTGTCTATTTTGAAAGCTTCTCGGGGCCGGAGAGATGGCTCAGCGGTTAACAACACTGACTGTTCTTGCAGAAGACCCAGGTTCAAATCCCAGCACCCACATGGCAGCTAACAACTGTCCGTAACTCCAGTCCCAGGGGATCCAACAGCCTCTTCTGACCTCTGAGGGCATTGCATGATACATGTGCACTTACCTACCTGCAGGCAATACATGTATACACATAAAATAAATTTTTTTTTTTTAAAAAAAAGCTTCTCTCTAAAAGTGACAAGAAATTCAAGGCCAGCCTAGGCTATATGAAACTTTTTTTCAAAACAAAACTCAAAGTCCCTAAAAGTGACAAGAAGTTCAATTACACCAGAAACACACAACCACAAAGGTTAAAAAGGAGGGTAATGAAGATAATTAAAGAGCAGGAAATTAGGAGCTTACTGTTATTTATCTAGGCAAAGTATAGAAGTATACATGAAAAGATTGTTATACAAAAAAGGATCAATTTTTCTTTTCACTAAGGAAAAGGCATCAAAAATAGATCCAATCTATGGTGATGATGTATTAGTTCATCATAGAAGAAAAGTGATGACACAGAGCCTTGCAAAACACCTGAATGGTAATGGCAAGGAAGCCAGCCTTGCCACTTAGTCCCAGCACTTGGGAGGCAGAGGCAGGTGGATCTCTCTGAGTTCGAGGCCAGCCTGGTCTACATAGCAACAACAACAACAAAAAGCACCCCCCCTCCCGGGGGGGAAAAAAACTAAAAAAACAAAAAACCTTACAGAGGTAACAAAGAATAGCATAAAAACTTTCTCACCTATGGCTTGCCTATTATGTGTGAGGCCCAGGGGCTGAGCCCCAGCACTGAAAACAATCCTTCATTTAGAGTCTCAGTTTGGGGGCTGAAGAGTCAGCTAACAACTCTCCCTTACTCCATTTCAGGGGATCCAATGCCCTTTTCTGGCCTTTCTGGCCTCCACAGGTATTGCATGCACAGATGCACTTATACATGCAGGTAAAACACACACATTAAAGAAAAAAATTTTTTTTAAGTATTTAAAAGATAAAAAGACTCCTCAGTGTTAACATTTTACTGCACTTCTTCTGTATCTATACAGATTTTGTCTGTATTTCTCAAGACCTATTTATAAACTTGATTCTTCTTTATCCCTAAGCTTTTCAGTACAACCACAGTGATATTACAAATCTGAGAAATTAACACTGATATAATACTAATTATTTAATCTATAGCTCTACTCCCTTAAAGTTGATCCTCCTGCCTCCCAAATATGGGATTATACACATACACTGCTATATCCCTAAAGACCTTTAAAGGAACAAAAAGGTGCTTTTGGGGTACAAATGGCTTAGTGGGTGCTTTCCTGCCAAGACTAACCATCTGAGTTTGATTCCTGGAATCCACATGGTGGAAGAGAACCATCCTCTGACCTGTACTTATATGTCACAGTATATGTGGGATCCTCCTCTCCAAAAAATAAATGTAAAATGAATGAATAAATTTTAGAAATTTTTCTAGCCCTGGATCACTGAGGTTTTGTCTTTAGTATGTCTAGAGGTTGAGGCAGGAGAATCTTGAATATAAGGCTATCCTGGGCTATATAACAAAAAGCTGTTTCCAAAAAACATAAAAAACAAGAGAATATATTAGTTACTTTATATCTCATCCTTCTATTTAGAGCCCTCCTGCTTTGTTTGGAGGAGATTTAGTAACTTCAGTAAAGACATGAAGGAACCTCTCCAACTTTTCCCTCCCAGCCAACTCACAGCAAGTTCTTACTGTAGAAGCTTTCTTTTACATATAAATGGTGGTGATAGTAATAAAACACTTCTAAAAAAAATCCAGAACTCATTCCCTTTTCTGTTTTTTTTTTTTTTTTTTTTTTTTTTGGTTTTTTTTTTTTTTTTTTTTTTTTTTGGTTTTTTTTTTTTTTTTTTTTTTTTTTGGTTTTTTTTTTTTTTTTTTTTTTTTTTGGTTTTTTTTTTTTTTTTTTTTTTTTTTTATGGTTTTGTTTGTTTTGTTTCTTTTCTATTCTTGTTCCTTTAAATGTCTCACTAATAAAGCCCAGGCTGGCCTTGAACCTTACCTCTGTGTCCTGAGTGTTGGGGAGGGGGTATAAGAATCTTGCATCACCACAATCAGCTCTTCCCAGAAATGATTCACTAGTATTACAGGACACCACCGACACACACATACACAACACCCACTTGCCTTTTAATTTAGTAAAAGTAACTTTGTGGAGAACTAGCACTTAAATTTTCTGTAGATTTCCATTTAAGAATCTCACCTCTACAGCGATGAGCTACACCCTAGGCTCAAGACAAAGCTGCAAAAAAAAAAGAGTGCATGTTATTACAATTACTTAACAAATATTTGTTGAGTGCACAGTACGTTCTAGGCTTTCGCTCTTGTTATAGTCCAGAGAATCTATTGAAGAACAAAATCCCTATTCTAAATCTAGCTGGAAATTAAAACAAATTTTAAAAATTGTCAGAAACCAAGAATCCAGTCTTTAACGATAAAATGGAAAGTCTCTGCAGAGAGCAAGTAGCCTAGAGGTTGCCCGAGATTCTAGTTTTTTCTAACACTGCTGCGAAATCCCCCCAGGTAATTGTGCTGATTTTAAGTCTTCAGTTTAAACGAGGAATCCAAGCACCAAAGGTGGGCATGTATCGCCGGGTCCCAGCGGTGGTAATCGTTTTCCCTGCAGCCATCGGCCGGGCATCCGGCTCCCGGCCACTCCTCTCCTGCACCGCAGAGCTGAGCACCTGGGAACCGAGCACCGACAGCCCCGCGGGGACCCGGCTCTGGGGAACCGGCTCCTCCAGGCGGCCTCGCCCAGTGCAATGCAATCCGGGTGGTTTTTCCGGGTTGCTCGCGCCCAGTTCCAGCTCCCGATATTCCGGGGGAGCAGGGGGCTGGTTCAGGGACGCCGGTGCCGGCAACCACCGAGCAGCCGAGGGCCGGGTAGTACCCGGCGCCCTGCGGGCTCTCGCGGCGTTGCCAGTGAGAGCCGGGTCTCCGCCCGATCTCGGGAGACCCAGCTGGCACCTGCACCGCCCCCCACCATCCTCGAACCTTGTCCGACCGCACCCCCACTCCCGGGGCAGCCGGGTCTCTAGCTTCCCTGGACAAGGGTCCCGGGAAGGTTACAGATTTGTTCCCGGAGTGGGTTACTGCAGTTGCAGGGATACGGTGGCCTCACTTCTTATCCCCAATGAGGAAAGGCGGCACATCTGGCGCCCGGCTAGTAATATTTCATACGGACTCCTGTTCCCAAGAATAGGCCGGTTTGAAACACACTCCAGGGAACTACACTTCCGGCACTTTTCTAAAATGTCAACGTGACCTACCTTGCCTCCTGGTGGCTAGTGGCTGGGGGTGGGGTGGGTTGATGATGGGCACACGAGACACTGGGCACAAGTTGAGCTCGAGAGGTCAGGACATTGATGCATTCACCCACTCCAAGTTCACAGCCAAAAGGCACAAGTGGAGGGCGGGTTAGAGCGGGAAATTTAGGAAGCGGTCTGCTTGGCCTCATTCAAGAAAACCCGTATGTGGCACGCGCGGAAGAGGCATTTAATTTCCGACCCAAGGCAAATCAAAGTTAAGTGGGCCCCAACCCTGGAGGGCGGTCCAGTCTGAAACTAGCTGCCAGGACAACGAAAAACTAGCAATTGCATTGGTGGGATGGAGAACTCTGCTCCCGGGAGGTCGGTCAGCAGGGGCCAGGGCGCGCGCCCCAGGGTGGAGGGCGCAAGCGCCAGGCTGGGCGCGGGAAGGGCAGCGCCCGGGTTCTCGTGCTGTTTGCACTGCAAGGTGTGTAGGGCTCATGAGCGGCTTTTCTCGGGTTCCGCAACTGCCCTCGTCACCTCCCCCGGCTGCCGTTGGCCGGTCCCTCCCAGCGCTTTTCGCCCTCCCAGGCGCCGCTCCGCGCCCTGGGCCTCACCTCTGGCCTCCTTTCGCTTCCCCGCGCCTCGGCCTTTTCGCTTGACCCTTCAGAACCTTCCGCTCCGGCCCCCTCGGCCAAGCCTTCCCTGCGGGTCCCCTCGCCGCGCGCCGCCCTCCAACCGGGACCCTCGCCCGTCGCTCTGCACCTTTTCTCCCCGCAAATTTTCCCTGTCTAGCCTCCGCTACCCTCAGGGTGGCACTGGCTTCTCCCCGCCCCACGGGTCTCCCCCTCCCACGCGTCTCCATTCATCCAGCCATTGTCTCCCGCCCCCTCCTCCCCCTCCCCTAGAGGCCTCCTCCCCCACCGCTGCCACGTCGTGGTTTGAAGGAGCCAATGGGCCGGCGCGGCCAGGTGTCTCTTACCTGCACCACGTGGGGGAGGGGGAAGGGGCGGGCAGGTAGAGCCACCTCCCAAAACAGAAAGGCTTTCAGCCATTGCGCGCGCCTCCCGGGGGTGCAGCCCTACTCCCTGGCTTTTTCCTAGACGAACCGGCAATAGAACACAAAAAGGGCCGGCCCGCTGCGCCCTCCTGCCCGCCCCCCTTCCTTCCCTGGGTGTGGAGCGCCGGCCAGGTGTGGGTCGGGGTGACTGCTTACCGCCTTTTGCACCGGCGGCCGCGAGGAGGGGGGTGGGCACGTTCTCTTTTTTCTACGGGAAGAGGGTTTTTTCAGTACAGGTTTTCTCGCTCACTTCCATCCCCACCTCGCCGCCTCCCGACCCGCCTTCTCCCCCTCCCCACCTATCGTCATGACGGCGTCTCCGGATTACTTGGTGGTGCTTTTTGGAATCACTGCTGGGGCCACCGGAGCCAAGCTGGGCTCGGATGAGAAGGAGCTGATCCTGCTGTTATGGAAAGTCGTGGATTTGGCCAACAAGAAGGTACTTCGGGTTTTGGCTCAAAGGCCAGGTGTGGGACTAGAACTTTGTTGAAGTTGGGAGAGGAGTTTTTTGTTTTAACTTTTACGTGTTTGTACGCTAATGAAGCTGGGACCCGAGGCCTAGAGAATCTCGAATAAAACCAAACTTGTGGCCCAGCCTCCTTGGAGCCATTTCAGTTTCCGAAACCTGGCCCAGGTGAGAGGCCGGCGCAGCCGGGCCGCGTTCTCCGCGGGTCGCCGGACGCCGGGCCGGATGGGGTGCTTCCTGAGGTGCCCCCCCCGCCTCCGTTCCCGGATCCGGGTGGGGGTGGGGAGCGGCGGCCGGAGCCCCGGACGTCTAGGTAGCGTTGATTCTACAGCCCGGCTCCTGCAGAGCCGCGGGTGGCCCCGGAGGAGCCGGGGAGGAAGCCATCCCTAATGGAAGAAGGGGAAACTGACCCCTTCTTTTTCCCCATCCCCCGCCTCCGGAGGTGGGACAGTTGCACGAAGTACTAGTTAGACCGGATCAGTTGGAACTGACGGAGGATTGTAAAGAAGAAACCAAAATAGACGCCGAGAACTTGTCGTCCGCGCCGCAGCTGGACCAAGCCCTCCGACAGGTGACAGTCTTGGCTGGGCCACGCCGCCTACCCCCATCCCGGCAGCCCCGGGCCCCCAGGCTTGACCCAACCCTACTGCTCCACGCCCTCGTGGGGCGGTCCGGCTGGTGCCTGGGGCGGGGTGGCGAGACTCAGCCTCGTGGGTGGGAGCCCGGCCTGTGGGCGGGGAGAGGCCGCGGGAGGGTTACCCCACTTGGCCTCTTGGCCTCCCAGGGTCTTTGGCGCAGGATGCGCTTGTGTCCCGCTTGCCTCTTGGGTAGTTCTTGGGGCCGCGGAGGCGCCGCCGATTACCCAATGAACGCCGGGCGAAGTTGGAATGCCGTGCTCCCACGTCTGCACGCCCAGCCTCCAGTGGTTCTGGGTCTGCAGCTCACTCTCGGGGCAGGGGCGCAGAGATTTAGAGGTGCAGACCCCGCGCCATCCCCACCCCCGCGCGCCGCGTGGTAGCCTTGACCAGTTTGGTAGGCACTGCCGGCCTGATTTCAGCCCTCAGACTTCAATTTCCATGGACCAGTTCGGCTTCCTCAGTACTTTAGTGCCTTGGTCGCGATCCCAGAGAGAGCTTGCAGGTCCCAGCCTGTAGGACTACTTGTTGGGTCACCTTAGAGCTGGCGGGATCCCCTATTGGAATTGAGGTGACCTAAAAACTGGCAGCTCTGAGGGATGATGGTTGCCGGAAGTCGGGGTAGGGTGGGCTCTACACCTGTGCGGAGGTGTGAGTTCCGCGTTCAGCCTCTGCCCTAGCACATGAGTTTCCAATTGAAGGAGAGAATTATGACAAGGGTATTTCCCAAGAAAAATGTTACCCGATTTGACAGTTGTGGATATTCATTACTTGGTTTGTTTATCGAAAATTGGTGCCTTCAACCTGAACATCCAAACATTTAAAAAGTATCATCAGGGAATGATGTAATCTGAAGGCAACTAACTTGCTAGTGAACCTCTGGTTTGTCGCATTCTGAAAATTGGAACTGAAGGGCTGTGGCCTTCTGAGCAAAAACCGCAATTGACTAGAAAGCTTCCTTGCCTAGGCAAAGTGGCAGATTTGTGGGAAAGGGGGTCTTTGTGATGTTTCCCTGGCAGGCGTGTTGCGCTTCAGAGTCCTCGGGACAGTTTTCTCTGGTTCTAATCATGTTCCGCAACTTGGACAAGTTTGTAAATTCCGCTTCCCTCGTGTGTGTATGTGTGTTTGTTTTTTCAGTTTAACCAGTCAGTGAGCAATGAACTGAACATTGGGGTAGGGACTTCCTTCTGCCTCTGTACAGACGGACAGCTTCACGTCCGGCAAATCTTGCATCCCGAGGCTTCCAAGAAGGTAAGTGTGCTGGCTTCAGGAAATATGGCTGTACTGGGGATAGGGGGTGACAGGTTTTGGCCCAACAGTTTATCCAAATCTATTTATGCTGGCTTCTGGAAAAACAGTTGTACTTTGGGAATTGAATGGAGGCTTTTATAAAATGTCATCCAAGTTATCTCACTTTTAAAGAGGTGCAGGTGGGGAGTTACTGATTGAAGGATGCAGAGTTTCATTTTGGAAAAAATGGAAGTGTTCTGGAAAAGGATGGTGATGGTTACAAAATGTTAATGGACTTGATGTTAATGAGCTTGGAAATGAGGAAATTGGAGGCTGAGGGTGTAGCTTCCTACCAGAACTTTTTTAAAATGTTAATATAGTAAATTTAACCTGTTTTTACTATGATTGAAAAATGCATACCTATTTCACATAAGTGCTTGGGATTTCACAATTTTATAGATACCCTTTGCTGATTTAAAACCTATTTGTCATGTTGTAAAAAGCCCGGCGTGATGTCTGATTTCTCAGGCTTTTAATCTCAGCACTGGGGAGGCAGGGGGAGGCGGATCTCTGTGAGTTCCAGGCCAGCTGGGGCTACCGGGAGTTGGTATCTCAAAAAGACCAAAAAATAGAAATAAAAAACCACCTGTCAAGTTGTCAAGGTACTTGACATTCTCCATTTTCTTGAACTAATATGGGGTCTGAATATTCCGGTCACAATACCTACAAGTAAGAAAGATTGTTATTTTAATACATTATGGAATTTTCATGTGAAATGCTTCATCTTATAGAGGATCAAACCAATTGAAAAACTGTATTTAAAAATAATTACACTAAAAAGACTGCTTAGATAAGCTACCAACATAGGTAGTAAAATACCATTTTAGCCCACTTCACTTTGCTTTTAGGTAAATGTTCAAAACTGAATTTTTAAATTTTTCCTTACTTTTCTATGTATGGTCTCATTCTGTAGCCCAGGCTGGCCTCAAACTAATCACAGTCCTTCTGCCTCAGCCTCCACAGAGTACTGGGATTACAGGGGTACATCACCATGCCCAGTTCCAAAACTGAAATTTTGTACCAGTAGGGTTTGGCTAGCTTTTCTGATAATGGAGTGAGAGAGTCTTACCCTAGATCTGCTGTTTCTCTCCCTGGAAGAATATTTTTGTAGGATAATTTAGAGCATGGGCAGCTCATCCAGTGTAGCCAATCTTGGCTAATGTAGTTTCTGTTAACTCAAATTTGTTTGAACTGTAACTTTTCGCTGTGGTAGGCAGACACTGAGCTTGGAAAGAGAATACATTCAAGGTACTGTGTGAGGCAAATCTAATGAAATACGTAGATTGAAATCCATGCCACAGGCAGGTGTAGTGAGCGCAGATTTTCTTTCTCTTCGTGCCCTAAAATAGGGAAAACTGGAAAGTTAGTGAAATGTATAATAATTTGAAGAGCCTGAGGGGGAAACTCCAGGTCCTTCGCCTTGAGGGTTGAGGTCCTTCTATTACAGAAATCTTGGTCATTAGTGCATCTTATGAAGTGCTATACCAGTTGCCATGTCATTAATCCAGAAATATACAGAAGATTATCACCACCTTCCCCCAAGTCATACTAGCACAGACAAGACTTAATTAAACTTTCCCTATTGGGCCAGAGTAGAAAGGTTGTTTCGTTGTTTGCTTCATACCCTTTCCCCAATTTTTTAGACTGTCTTATAGCCCAGGCTGGCCTCTAAGTCTCCATCCTCCTTGCCTCATTTTTTTGAGAACTGGGCTGCAAGTGTTGATCACTGTGCCCAACTCGTTTCTATTTTAGATGGATTGTTTTACAGTTTGGAAAACTTCTAGAGAAAAATTAAGATAGTTTCTCGAGCCACTTCTGTTAGGATTAATTAAATATAAGAAGCTAAAACAATATAATAAAAATGACATATTCATTTGCACACAAAATGGCAAAAAATAAGAGCTACACAGAAAATACGTGAAAAATTTTTAACATGAACATTTTTGGATATATTTCCTGGACTTACTGTGGAGAAGGTGTTTCCACAAGGAGCATTGAGCTTTACAGACCTGTTTAATATGTTATTTATAAATTATAATATATAATTTAGTATAGCATCAATGTCTATAAGTGCTAAATAAAATGCTAAGTATTTTAAATAGACATAATGATTTAATTGTTTTCTTGTTTATGTGAGTTTTTGTTAAGTAGATTATCGATGACGATTTTTGAAGGAATTATGAGGATTCATTTGGTATTAACTCTTGAAAGCTGTTACAATGATGCTGATTTCAGATACAGTATGAAAAAATAACATCTAATAGAATCCAATAAAGGAGACATTGCATGTTTAACAAACTTTAAAATTACTTTTATTTCCTTGATTTTTTTAAACCTATAAATCAGTGAATAGAATTCCCAAGTTAATGATCATAATCTATTTTGAAATTTGAAGAAAATTCTAGGGCCATGAGATACCTCAACAGGTGAAGGTGCTTGCTTCTAAACCTGATGATCTGAGTTTGGTCCCCAGGACCTATATGGTAGAAGGAGAGAACCAACTTCCACAAATTGTCCTCTGACTCCCACATGGATGATGTTTTATGGGTACACCTCCCTGCCCAACAAAAATAGTATATATCAAAAAAAAAAAAAAAAACAACAATGATGCACCGTCGTGGTGGTACATACCTTTAATCCCAGCACTCAGGAGGGAGACAGAGGCAGGCAGATCTCTGAGTTCGAGGTCAGCTTGGTATAGTGAGTTCCAGGCCAGTTGGGGCTACAGAGAGACTCTGTTTCAAAAAGACCGAAAAAAAAAAAAGAAAGGAAAAAAGAAAAATCTCAATTCTGTCTTGTAATTTTATTTTTTGGCCACATGGCCTGTGCTACCAGCACTCTTTCAAGCTGAATTGGATATGAATTAAAGACCAACCTTGGGGCCTGGATTTGGGGCTTGTTCACCTTTAATACCAGCACTTGCAGGGCAGAGGCAGATAAATCTCTCAGAGTTCCAGGCCAGCCAGGGCATTTATTGGGAGACCCTGTCTCAAAAACAAAGCCAGTCTGGGCTACATAGAGGATTCCAGACAAAGACCAGAAATGAATACTTCAGAGGGCTGGAGATTCGGCTCAATTAGTAATTTGCCTAGCATTCTGGGTTCAGTTCCCAACATGCCTTGAATCCAGGGGGATTGGCTACATAGTGAGTTTGAGGCCAGCCAGGGTAAATGATGCCATCTCAAAACAAAACAAAAATGTAACAAAGAAACCAAACCTGATAGCATAATATTTATCTGTACAGTTACCTTTTGTTTTTGTTCTTTTGAGACAGGGTTTCCATGTAGCCCCAGCTGGTCTGGTACTTGCTTTGTAGACCAGGCTAGCCTTGATCTCACAGAGATTCGCCTGCCTCTGCCAATTTAGTGCTGGGACTAAAGATGTGTGCCACAACACCTGGTTCTACAGTTTGTTTTTTTTTTCTCTTTTTGAAGCAGGGTCTCCCTGTAGCCCCAGCTGTCCTGGAACTCACTATGTAGACCAGGCTGGCCTTGAACTCACAGAGATCCGCCTGCCTCTGCCTCCCAAGTGCTGGGACTACAGGCGTGCACCACCACACCCGGCCTTCTACAGTTATTTTTAACAGCCATATAAGTGGAGCTCAGAGCTAAGAACAGTAGGTAACTAGTTCTTCTCTGCTTTGACTTAAAGTACCTTTTCTTTTTGTTGGTAGGGATTGAACCCCTAGAACCTTGCACATGCTAGGCAAGCACTCTACTAATGAGCTACATTTCGGCCCTTGGCTTTTTTTGAGATGATCTTACTATTTAGCTCAGGCTGGGCATGAACTGAACATTCTCCAGCCTCTACCTCCAGAGTGTTGAATTATAGGCACTTTTTGTCTTGCCTAGCTGTGATGTGAGTTTTTAATTTTTCTTAATTATTGTGTTTTTTTGGCATACTCATGCCACAGTGTACATGTGTAAGACATGGGACAACTTGCAGGAATTGCTTCTCTCCTTGCACCCTTAATAGGTTCCTAGGATCAACTCAGGTCTTCAGGCTTAGGTAGCAAGCACTTTACTCAATGAGCCATCTTGCTGGCCTCTGATGCGTATTTTTAAAGTCTAATTTGAATTCTGAGGTAGAGCCAAAATAGTGGGCAGGAGAGCTAATAAAGAATTTTAACACAAAAATACTTTTCAGATAATCAGAAATACCCCAATCTTGAGTACCAAATAAATACATTACTGGAACTCAGTAGTAGTTAGAATGGTTACATTTTACAAGTTAACCATAATCTAAACTTATCTCTGGGAAAACTGATATAAAAACAGATGACCTAAAATGATTGTGACAGGAAAAAGTCTATTACCACTAAAAATATATAGAGCACAATAGTCCAAGTGTATTACAGCTTCAGAAGTGGTTTGAATGAGAGCTGGAAAAAGCAGTTAAGAGTACCTGCTGGTCTTTCAGAGGGCTTGGTTTCAATTCCCAGCATCCACGTTGGGTGGCTCACAACTGCCTGTAACTCCAGGGGTTCTCACTACTCTCTTCTGGGCTCTGTGCACACCTGCATGCACATGTAGACAAAGCACACACATAAATAAAAAATTTTAAATGGTTTGAATGGAAAATGTAGTGCAGCATAAATTTTGTAATCCATTTCATTAAAATGTACTTTTGTGAAACTTGTATAGGATCTAATACAATAGCAATCAAGGATTAAAAAGTTACTTGCTGGGCATGGTGGTGCACGCCTTTAGTCCCAGCACTCGGGGGGCAGAGGCAGGTGGATCTTTGTGAGTTAAGGCCAGCCTGGTCTATGTCAAGAGTTCAGGTCAGCTGGGACTACAGGGAGACCCTGTCTCAAAAAAGACAAAAAAATAATAATATAAAGTTACTTATATTTCTAAAAATTGTGGTTAAATATAGTCAGTTCTTTGGTGCCTAATTATTAGAGCAACACTGAATCAGATTCACCTAGTTAACTTCTACCTTATCCTTCCTCAGAATGTGTTACTACCCGAATGCTTCTATTCCTTTTTTGATCTTCGAAAAGAATTCAAGAAATGTTGCCCTGGCTCTCCCGATATTGACAAACTGGATGTTGCAGCAATGGCAGAGTGTATCCTTTAAAGGGTATCTGAGAACCATTTGAAAGAATAGCTCAAGGAAATAGCAATTCAAAAACTCTTTCTTACCTCAACCCCTATCTCTCTCTCTCTCTCTCTCTCTCTCTCTCTCTCTCTCTCTCTCTCTGGCCTCCACAGGCACTTGCACACATGTGGCATACATTCATATAGACACACATATACATAAAGATTAAAAACCAAGAATCACAATACCGAAAGCTTGGCATGGCAATGCATGCCTTTGTATTCCCAGCACCCGTAAGACAGAGGCAGGAGAATCATTTTAAGTTTGAGGCCAGCCTGGTCTACATAGCGACTTCTAGGCCAAACAGGCAGGACTATGTGGCAGACTGTGGACCCACCCCTGAGGGGTTTTTGATCTGGTAAATCTGGCATATGATCAATAATCTCTCTCAATATCTCTCTCAATCTTTCTCTCTCTCCCTCTCCCTCTCCCTCTCCCTCTCCCTCCCTCCCTTCCTCCCTCCCTCCCTCCCTCTCTCTCTCCCTCTCTCTCTCTGTTTTGTTTTTAAGGTTTTTGAGGTGCAATTTTTTATTATGGTCTAGAATTTATTATGTAGTCCAGGCTGTCTTTGAACTTGGAGCTGTCCTCCTGCCTCAAGCCTCCCGGGTGCTGTGATTAAAGGTATGAGCCATCAAAGCTAGTTCAAGAAACTTTGAAATGCTTTAAACTTTGTCAGTGTGTGGATGAAACTATTTCTGCTTTAAACTTTGTCAGTGTGTGGATGAAACTATTTCTGCCCAAAATTAATACACTGTGCTAGGAAGAAATGGCAGTATATTAAATATATCTTTCAAAGTAGTTATGACTAACTGAATTTGAGCAGTTAGATGGTCTGAAGTTTGTTCTTGTGAGGTGATTGCAGTTCAGATGATGTGCATTATAATATACCCGTCAGCAGAGGTGGTGTGTGTGTAGAGAGTAAAAGAGAGACATACACATGATGAATTGAAGACGATGGGAAGACTGTTTACAGATCTCAAAACCACTTGTGCTTGATTAATTTGGTCTTGGAGTCTATTTTGGCTTCTTTGCCATGAATAAAATTTTTCTTTGGAAGTATTAGGTTCCCTTTTAAACCTCAGTGTTTCAAAAATATACCAGACCACGGTGATTATAGTAAGACATTTTAAGGGTGATGAAATAGGGGCCAGGCTGTGTGTGGTGGTGTAGGCTTTTAATCCCAGCACTCAAGAGGTAGAGATAGGTGACTTTCTCTTGAGTTCAATGCCAACCTGGTCTGCATAGCAAGCTCCTAGCCAGCCAGGACTATATAGTGAGGCTCTATCTCAAAAACAGAACAACACATAAAAACGGGTCCAAATTATCCCTAAAGTCTTACCAAGGTAGTATATTTAATGTATCGTATATTACTAAAATATATTTTATGCTCATAAATCTTATATCCTGAATGATCCATTTTCCATTTTCTTGTATCCATTAAATTTCTTAAATGTGTTGACTAATAACCAATCATGTGCTAATAGCAGAAGGGACTCTGGGAATTGGGTTAGGTAGCTTTTTAAAAGCCACTTGGGGGACTGGAAAGATGATGGCTCAACAGTTAAGAGCACTTGCTGCTCTTGCAGAGGACCCTAGTTCAGTTCCTAGTTGGGGATTGTAGGTACTTATTCTCCCTCCTTCCCCCGCTTCCTTCTCCCTTGCTTTTTTTGCCAGGATCTCACCATGGGACTGGCTTTTTAACTCACAGTCCTCCTGCCTCATCCTCCCTAGTGCTGGGATTTCAGGTACACCCCACCAGAGCTTTGCATTGCTTGTTCTTACACTTTCTCATTATTTTCAGTAACTAAAGTGTGATTTTTATTCCACGTGAGCTTAAAGATCTTGTATCCTTACGACCTCATCTAGTACAACCTCTTGAAGACCGTATCTCTACATGTAGTGACAGTGGGAGCCAGGACTTACATATATACATTTTAGGGGTACAATTCAGTCCTTAGCTTATGAACTATTTGATGCAATAATAACAAAATAGAAAAAAGAAATCTAGAAAAAAATATCAAGGCTGTGGATGCAGCTCAGTGGTAAAGCACATAGAGGCTGTAGTTCTATCCCCCATCCTACCCAAACAGAAACTACCAGTATAGAGGGGAAGAAAAGTATAGTAAGTTACGTTAAAAAATTTTTTTTAATTTTAAATTTTTTTGGTCTTTTTGAGAGAAGGTCTCCCTGTAGCCCCAGCTGGCGTGAAGATCAGGTTGGTCTTAAACTCACTGAAACTCACTGCCTCCCAAGTGCCGGGATCAAAGGTGTGCGCCACCACACCCGCCTTCTAGTAAGTTACTTTTAATTTAGAGAAAGATAATTTCAGTAAAAAAGGCAGCATATTGAGAACTATCTCAAACCATTTGGTTTTCCTTTAAGGTAAAGCTCTTCTTTGCCTGGTATTTTTTGTCATTGTACTGGTAATATGTCAGTTCTACATGCACATTTTGATTTTTCTCACTGTATTCAAACAATCCATTCCCCCGACTTCTTTTTTTCCTCTCTGCAGTCTTTTTCATGTATATAAGATTTGAGGGGGCTGGAGAGATGGTTCAGTGGTTTTGAGCACAGGCTGCTCTTGCAGAGGACCTGGGTTCAAATCTCAGAGCCCACACGGCAGCTAACAAGTTCATAAGTCCAATGCTGGGGGACCTGACACTGTTCTGCCTCCACGGACACTGCCTGACACCAGTGCACTTATATACATGCAGGCATACCACTCATACATATAAAGTAAACATAAACAAAAAAAAAATTAAGGTTATTGGTAAAGATTTGAGGTTGTTAGTAAACATGACTTAATCTGTGCTGTACTTTCCAACACTTCGATTATCTGTCCTTTAGGTATAGGAGTAGGACAGTGTGGTACACTGATCTTATTCCATCATTCCTTTTAATCCTTATTTTATAAGCATATATGATGGCCGCTCTTCTTTTTTTTTTTTAAGTGCCATGGTGATAAAAATCAGAAATACATGACAGTAGAGGAATAAATTGTGAATGAGTCAAGTTGGGCTTCATTTCATATACATGGCTCCTGAGATCCCATACTGGAGCTCGTGGCCATTCAGCAATGCATTTGTTTAAAAAAAAAAAAGACAGGATTTTATATTTAACAATAGCTTGCTTAGGGACTGGAGATGTAATTCAGTTGGTAGAGTGCGTGCCTACCATACATGAAGCCAAGGTCAGATCACACCTGTGATCCCAGGACTTGTGTGAGGAGAATGTTTACATGTTTCTTTCCCATTTAGCAGGTTAGAATTGCTACTAACCTTTCTTAACAGTAGCTTTCATTTCTCATTGCTGATTATTTTCGCTTAAATATTTCCCTGACTATGCCTCCAAACCAATTTTGGAAGTCAAAGGCAATTGTACTAAAACTTGAGTATTATTAGCTCATGTTCATCTTTCTTGGCAAAAGCATTACTACAATATCTGAGCAGAAGAGTTTTGCTCTTTTAAACTACTAAGTATTTTACTCATTAATATAAAAATGGTCCTGAATTTGGAAACAAAGTCATTAATCAGATGTTTTTAAGCAAGTAATAGAGAATCCTTGGCTATTTTGAGATTATCTGTTCACTGGTAAACCAGAGATTATGCAGGCCAACACAGATGCTTTTAGTTTTTTTTACTATGTAGATAGTTGTATTTTTATTTTTGTTTAAAAAAATTTTTTTTTAAATATTTATTTTATGTGTACGTGTGTATTGCCTGCATGTAGGTAAGTGCACCGGTGCCGTGCAATGCCTGCTGAGGTCAGAAGAAGCTGGCAGATCCCCTGGACCTGGAGTTATGGACAGCTGTTAGCTGCCATGTGGGTTCTGGGATTCGAACCTGGGTCTTCTACAAGAACAGTGTTCTTAACCACTGAGCCATCTCTCCAGCCCCATTTAAAAAATATTTGTATTTTTTGTATTGAGTGTATTGCCTGCATGTATGTAAGCACATCTGTGTCGTACGATGCCCTTGGAAGTCAGAAAACACTATCAGATCCCTGGAACTGGAATTTGCCAGCTGCCATGTGGGTGCTGGGAATCAAACCCAGATTCTCTGCAGAAGCAGCCAGTGCCCTTAGCCACTGAGCCATCTCTCCAATCTGAATTCTTATTTTTAAATCTTTTTTTTTTGTCTTTTTGAGACAGGGTCTCCCTGTAGCCCCAGCTGTCCTGGAACTCACTATGTAGACCAGGCTGGCCTTGAATTCACAGACATCCGCCTGCCTCTGCCTCCCAAGTGCTGGGCCTACAGGCGTGCACTACCACGTCCGGCTTTTGTTTTGTTTTTTTGTCTCATAAGGGTATTTTTTTGTCTTCACTGTAACTTAAATTTTGTATTTAAAACTTTTTTTTCCCTTATAGAGAAAGCAGTGAGGCTTTGAGGGTTTTTTTATTTGGTTTTGGTTTTGGTTTTTTGGTGGTGGTTTTGTTTGTTTGTTTGTTTTAATGTTCTTTTTGAGACAGGATTTCCCTGTAGCCCCAGGTGGCCTGAAACTTACTATGTGGTGGCTGGCTTTGAACCCACAGAGATCTACCTGCCTCTGCCTCTGCCTCTCAAATGCTGGGATAAAAGGCATGCACCACCATACCCAGCTTGAGGCTTTGAGTTTTTAAAAGGATGTAGAGGTTAAACATGCAGCTTTTCAGGATGCTTAGAGGAGAGAAATGCAAGTGCTGTCATTTTCTGTCCTGCATTCCACCCTTCAGCCTCAGCATTGCCACTGTCTAGTGGATAAAGAACACTAAAAATAGTGGTCATTTAACCTGGGCCTGAGAGGCTCTACCGCTGCAGATTTGCCTTCGTGGGCATTAAACTTGCCTCCCTTTATCTTGGGTATTCCCAAATGAAAGTTTGGGAACCATATCTTGCCATGAAAAAGTATGTCTCCTTTAGTGGAGGAAAAGTTTAGGAATTCCATGAATGTGGCTCTGGTTACTTTAGCACCTCTTTCCCTCTTGTCTT